CGGAGTATATTGTTCTCCTTCAGACTGATTCCAGCACCAACGTCACACTGCCCCCTGCGGTCAGTGGAGGAACTGCAACATTAATTATTAATCAGAATCAATACTTTTTTTTGAAAACAATAACATTTGTTACCATGGTAATAAAAAAACTAAGTAGCAGTATAGTTTAAAAAAAAAAGACCATATAAAAATATAGATTTAGCTGGTAGTGTAATAGCAATCAAACAAAAAAAAAAACCGGACCAGAGGATTATTCATTAATCAGATTTATTTATCATGTTTTAAAAATATATATTAAGTTCATTTAATATGATCTTATTTTTTATAATTTATTTATATTGAATCTTTTTTTGTAAACAAGCTAACATGGAAACTGTCATGTTAAATGGTTGGATATGTATATATGTTCATTTAATTCATTTCTTGTTTTAACAGCTACTTACCTGTATATAAGTTTGAATGTTAGCTTTAATTGTATTTATAAATTGTGTGTGAATCTGTACTTTCGCTTTCACCCTGTTGCTGAGGTCTATCTCATCTTATCTTATCTTATCTTAAAAGATAACTACATATGACAGATCGGTACTTCCCAATTTGGGAAATGTTTGCGTTGCAGGCAGCACCATAAAAAACACAAGGCAATGTACATAAGAGAAATTAAGACACAGAAATAAACAGTCCAAAATATTTCAGAAATAGAAATAAAATAGCATTAAAAAGTTAAAAGATACAAAATAAAATCTCGATATGTTTGTAATCGTACTTATTTATTTATTGTGTTGTACTCACCATTTACTGGACATTAAAAAACAGTTTTTAATTGGATTGTTATTCTTATTATTAGGCAGTGACTGTGCAGCACCCCTTGTTGTAGAAAGTGACTCCTGCTGCAGTTCTCTTTGCGGCCTATAGGGGGAGACACCTCTGACGCACCAGAGCATAAAGTTCTCTGAAACACCGGAGCTAAACCGGAAATGGTTTTCAAAATAAAGGGTATGTTATAGCAAATATTACATATATTTATGTGAATAAAGTGTCCTGACTGCTGTTCCTCTGATAGTTTCACTTTACTGTGATGTTAAGCTTAGCAGCGGTGTGTTATGGAGTATAACTGGCCTCTGAAATGTCCGAATTGACCAATCAGAATCAAGTATTTAACGAAGCGTGTAATAAAACAAATATATCTAGTTATTTTATTTAAAAAATAAACAAACAGGCTTCAGAAACACATACAAAGTTAGATTTAATGAAGAGAAAAAAGGATTGACATAATTAAAATGTCGGTTTACTGACAACAAACAACCACGAGTCATTCTTCACAGCAGCAAAACAACCCCTCGTTCTATTTTGAAATGCACCGGAAGTGCGTGAGGCTGTTCCGTCTAACTCGACACACAGAAGTTGAATCAGCAGCATCTCTCCGGCGGTTCAGAAGCAGACTCTCTGTTAAACAGTTAAAGTTAGGTGTTCGGCAGAAGATGGAATCTGAGGTGATGGAGATCGACGGCAGCGTGATGGAGGGCGTGAGTAGATTCAATAAACACTTTAATATCACCGCGCTGCTAACATGCTAACAGAGGAGCTAACTAGCTAGCTGGCTGTTCTGACCGGTGTGTGATGAGTTTCCTCCCCGTTTTCTTTCTTCTCAGGGCGGGCAGATCCTTCGGGTTTCCGCGGCGCTCAGCTGCATCACGGGAACCTCCGTGAAGATCACAAAGATCCGGGCCGGCAGGAGCACGCCGGGGCTCAGGTGAGTTAGCGTTAGCTCAACGGTAGCTCTAAACCCCCAGGAAGGGAGAGCGATGAGGCAGTTTTTTGTGAATGAACGTAGTGGCCGACGGTGGTACTACAACCCGTATGACGTCATTTTAGCCCAAAAGGACTGTTTCCCATTGACTTGCATTAGATAAATCGATGGATACTTAATTGATCCCAAATTAGGAAATTATATTGATCAACGCAGCATTTTGACAGGCAATCTACAAGAATTACAAAAGTAAGAGTATCTAAACAGTATAAAATATACTGAATAAATTATAAATATATTATATACCACTCTGTGAACATGCATACAAAATGGTGTACAGAGGCTTGAAAGTAAAATAGATCCTGGGAACACATAATATGACAAATACTAAAAATTGAAAATAAACAATTTTCATCTCAAAATAGAAAATAAAACTGAACTAAGCAGTAGAATAAATACAAGTTGACTGTGAAAGTTAAACATCTGTGGACTATCTGGGAAAGAGACGTCTGTAAATAATTTGAGCAAAAATAAACTACCACTTTTATATCACTTTTTTAAATCATCAGGTTGTAAAATGTGCTAAAATTTGAATCCAGAGTGTATTTCTCCCTTCATTCATCTGATTGAGCGGAGATAGGGAGAGCGGAGGCGAGGCTTAAGGGAAACCTCAACTGCGCATGCTCAGTGGGCCCACATACGGGTACTTTGTTATGCGTTTCGGTCTTCACGCGCCACAGAGCGAGTCTCATAGGAATGAACGGAGCCCCGCCTCTCTCTCTTTGCACAGACATGGCCAGGAGCTAGCAGGCTAACGTTAGCCTATTCATTAAAGTGCAGCCGCTAACTTACTCTGCAGATAACAATAAAAACAGAAAAGCTGCTGTATTTATTACTACTTTATTGTTTCTAACAACATGCTGGATCCAGGTTGAAATCACCTGTTGGATAAAAGTTTATTTTAAGTGCTGCTGTTTGGAAACTTTGATCAAACGATATGCGTAGCATCAATGGAGACCAGACTGCATGCAGCGGGTGATAACGCAAGAGTTTCTGAAACGAGCATAACTACTATAAGATTTAATTATTAATTTAGTTAATTACATGAAGTCGATTTACTGTTCTGCATTGATCCTCCTCACGCAGAAGCTTGTACATGTGTGGAAATGAAGCAGAAAACTTAGCAGATTCTGTGTCGCAGTCCTCCTCCCTCACCGGCAGCTGTGCATCATGGCTGATAATTAGGTTTATTGATCTGCTGGAAGGATCTCATGTGTGCCGATTTCACTGAGTCTCTTAGGAGCACACAGCTGTTTTAATAATAGATGACTTGTATGGTTATTTGCAGTAACATTCCAAAAAATCTCAGATTTCTGTATTTTTTTCAATGGACTTCTGAGATTTGCTTGTCTTGCTTCCATAGATTATTGTATTTATTATAAATTCTCACCGAAATCAATTTTATAAACACTAATTAAACTGTAAATATACATTTTACATAGAAAACGACACTATTTATATACCCTGTTAACGCACAGTAAATGCAATGCAATTAAACCCTATACATACACTTTAAATACACATTGTATAACTCTGTAAAACACATTGTAAACACACCGTCAATGCACTTAAAGTCCGTTTAGACTCATCGGCAAACAAGCAAATCTTCTATACAATCAATAAACTGAAGTCGCTTTTAAATTCTGCATCCACCCGCCTCATGCAGACGCTTCAAATGTGTGGGAATGAGACAGAAAAGTCCTGTGCCACAGTCTGTCTTCTGCAGCTGTGCATCATGGCTGATCATTACGTTTATTGATCGCATGTGTGCCGGTTTCACTTTAAGACTCTAAAGGCCCGGACACACCAGGCCGACGATGGGCGTCAGGCCGACGATGAGCGTCGACACGCCCTACTCAGATTGGTGTGTCCCGCACCGCCGTGTCTTTTCAGCCGCGCCGACACCTTTTTCGGCCGACTGCTCACCGATTAGTCGGCAAAATAAATCACTCTGATTGGCTGTTCAGCTAGCGAATCAGTGCATAAGAAGCAAAACGGAAGTGAGGGACCCAAACAAACGATTAAGAAGGCAAATCTGAGATTTCATTTAAGCCCCATGAGCTTCTCGCTGTAGAGTGAACATGGAACGCACGCTATTTGTTGTTTGTTTATATCACGCAGTCTGTTCTTCTTCTCTCGGTGTATCACGCAGTCTGTCTTCCGGTTGTTGCCTCGAATACACACTACCGCCGCCTGCTGGTAAGGAGAGTTATTGCCACTCACGCATGCGCAGTTCGTACGTGCTTCTTGGCCGTCGGCTGAAGTCTTTGCGCTGTGTTCCAGTGCGACACATGGCCAAGACGCAGAGACGAGAGGCGACACAACAGTCGGGGGTCCGTCTGTGTCAGTTCTTTGGTGTCAGCTTGGTGTGTCCGGGCCTTAAGGGTCACACAGCTGTTTTAATAATAGATGTGTTTATTTGCAGTGAAATTCCCCAAAAGGTCAGATTTGTGTAATTTCTAAATGGACGTCTGAGATTTTCTTGCGTCCATAAGTTATTGTATTTGTTATCATGAAGCAGAACACCCTCAACACTCATAGGACGTTTAGTCGGTTTAGTTCTAAGTAATGGCGCGTTTCCACTACAGCGCGCATCCCGGTTTAAGAGGGCTGTGACGTCAGCGGCCCGTCTTTGGTTGCGTTTCCACTTGGCCTAGTACCGGCCGGCGGGTCCTAATTCACAGTTTTTCTGGCCTCATAAAATCGTGGGTCTAGGGCCAGAGACAACGAGGCTGAGTCGGGCTGAGTATGCTAAACTAGAGAGAGCATCGCTGGCAAGGGGGCTACAACTACAACAAGATGGACATATTTGACCGTGATTTAATTATAATACACGTTTCAAAATGATGCCGAAGTAACAACATACTGATACCGGTTAGTAACAACCATGAATTAATGCTTTGTCAAGTCTGCAGTCAGACGGCAGGCGAAACACCTTTTAAAATGCTTGTTTTCTAAATGGAGATTGGCTAAGCTAACGCAGTATATGCTCCGACCGTCCACACTCACAACAACGGCCTATACAGACAGAAATAAAGCAGCGACTGTATTCACCATGACACAGGCAGTCTGTGGTTTGTACTTGTTTAACTTTTGTCTAGTTTCTGAACAGATATGAGGAGCTGTGAGCTCTGAGTGCTAACAGCTAACGGCTGTGTTGTTTTTCTGGGGTTCTCATTGAAGATGACGTCAC